AAGCAAATACTAATTCATTATTATTAATTATATATAATATATTTATATATAATAAATAGTATTTTTTATTATACTTTTATATAATAATTTTATTTAATAATTTTTTATTTATTTTTTAAATAAATATTTTTGATAAATATCTATTTTTTAATACTATACAAAGAAGTCTTTTTTATAAAAAGTTCTTTGTTTGATATTGCATATTACAAATCTTTTACTTATTTAAATTTATTTAAAGGTTTTCTTTATACTTCTATAAAATTTTTGATTATTAATCAAGAATATAATTATGTAATATATTTATTATGATGATGTTATGTTTTTGAATTTTAGTATTTTTTTATTATTTAAGATTTTATAAAAAAATAATGGTTCTTTATATACTAATATTTATTTTTGTTATTATTTAAAATTAATAAATATAAGTTATAAAAATTTTATTTTTTAAAATAATATTAAATTTATTATAAATAATGAATGAAAAAAGTCTTGGCTCTCTTATTGTATTATGATACAATTTTATATCAAAGTTATTCTTTATAATCATTGTATTATCTTTTTGTAACATCTTTTTAAAGATCAATACTTTAATTTCTTTAGTTATTTCTTTATTGTCTTATTCAATGTTTTCTAAAAATATTTTATATTTTTAAGAGCAATAATAACAAATACAGTTTCTATTATTATTAAAAATTTTATCACATAAGTCTTCTATTTTGTATTTCTGTTTTGTTATAATAATTTCTTTAAATAAAAATGCTTTTTTGATTTTTTATTATTATTAGAGTTAGGTTTTCTTTTTGGTTTTGTTTTCTTAGTATTTGATAGTTTTGGTTTATGTTTTGTAAAAAGTTTTCTTACTGTATAAGAATCTAGTATAATTTTAAATTGCTTTTTGGTATTATATACAGATGTATTAGTTTTTGGATAAGTTCTTATATTTGTTTAAAAACAATATATATTTTAATAATTAAGTACTTTTTAAATAAAAAAATAATGTATTACAAATTTGTAATTCTTTAATAAAAACTAATAAAAATAAAATATGAATATTAGATGACTATTAAATAAATGTTGTTTACTCTTAGTAAAGAAACCAATAAGAATAAAATATGAATATCAGATAACTATTAACTAAGTGAACTTTACTCTTAGTAAAGAAACTAATAAAAATAAAATATAAATATTATATAACTATTAAATAAGAAAAACTTATTTTTTAACTCTAGGTCTTATACAGCAGTTTATATATAACATGATAAAACACTATATCAAATATACTATTATATATAAATATTATATATTTATAAAACAAATGCATAGTAATAAATAGTAGATTATTTATATAAAATTACAATATCTTATTATACTTTTAGTGATTATTAGACTGAAAATAGGCAACCAAAATTAACACAAATTGGTTCTGTAAATAAACCTAACCTAAAAATAATATGACTTGAACAGAAAAAAATAACAATTATATTTATCAAATATATAAAAATTCAGAAAAATATATGTAGCTAAATTGGAAAGTATATGAAATTTCATAACTAATTGAATGGAAAAAATCAGAAACAAAAATTTTTAAAAATTGAATAAAACAGCAGAACAGATAATTTACAGTATATTTTTTAATTTAAGAAAATATAAGAAACTTCAATTATATAATCAAATAGGTATTTTGGATTTAAATTGTTTTTTATTTAGTAATATTTAGCAAAATTCTATAAGAGGAAATATTTTTTGTAAGTATGAAAAGTACATGAATTTTGTATTATTATACTGTACAACTTTGCAGATATGAAACCTGCAGATTTTGTAATATTTTTATTCTCTTTATTTATTATCTACCAATAATTTATTTAAAAATTTTTTTAATATAAATTTTTTTATCTATATGCTAATCAGTTTATGTAAACATATGATTCAGATTTTTCATTATTAACTAAATTTTGATTTTAATTATGTTGAAATACAAAATGAAATACAAAACCTATCCCAAAATAAATAGACAAATTTTAAAAAAAATTATATTTTAATTATATGTCAAGTTTCAAACTGAACTAAAAGTGAAAAATTTAAATCTTTAATATAATTAATATAAAATTTTAAATGATTATATTTTATTGATTAAACTAAAAATGTATTCATCTTTATATAATTATTATTGAAAAAAAATTTATTTTTGTAGCTAAATTGTAACCAGAAAATAAGATATAAAATGAAGTATTAAAAGATTATATAATATTAAGAACTAAATTAATATTTATTTAATGTTAATTCTAATTTTAAAATAATAATATTCAAAATATTTCTTTTACAAAAACCATTAAAAAACTAAAGATAACAAGAAAAAGTATAACAAGAAATAACAGTTGGGTTAATAAAACTGATATAAGATTAATTAAAAATTATCTATTGTTAATAAGAATTTTTTTTGTTTATTACAAAGTTAAAAGACAAAAAAATATAATAAAAAAAATAAAAAGAATTGTAATTCTTATTTATTTGTTACACAATTAGTATTGATATAAAAAGTTGTAATTCACTTTTTAGTTTAGTAACAATATTATATCTAACTTTTATTTTAATAAAAAAGATTTTTATAAATGAAAATAAATGTATTAAATTTTTATTCAATAATAATATTTTATATAAACCTATAAATTATAAAATATATAAACCAAACTTATTTTAAAATAATAAAAAATTCACTTATATAAATAAAAAATACAAAAAATCAGTTTTGATATTTAAAATTTTCTTTTTTTTAAAAGAACATGTAAAATGTAATCTTACAATAATATTTAACTATCTAAATGCAATTATTATTTTATTAAAAAGATAACAGACCATTCACCAAATACAATAACTATTTATATAAAATTTTATCAAAAATTAATTATTGATATTTTAAAAGATTATGAAAATAAAATTAATGATAAAGAAATCATTGTTGAAATTGATGAATCTAAATTTGGAAGAAGAAAATATTATTATGATAGAATTATTGATAGTGTATAGATTATTGATAGTATTAAAAGAACAAAACAACAATGATGTTTTCTGATAAAGATGCAGAAACATAATAAAGAAATAATCAAAGGTATCTTAGATAAATATATTAAAAAAAAGATCTATTGTTTATACAAATTGTTAAAAATATTATCTGAATATCAATAAACTAGACTATAAACATAAAACTGTTAATTATTCAGAAAATTTTGTAGATCCTCAAACAGATGTATATACAAATATTATAAAATAATTATAAAATAGCATCAAGTTACAGATTGCTTCACAAAATTAAAATAAAGATTTAATTAAATTATACTTATTTAAATTTATTTAGCACAAAATAGACAAAAACAGACTCTAAGATGCATTTATCAAAACACTATATTCTACATCATATTACTAATCTGATAATATCATATTATAATTATTGTATACATTAGTATATGCTAAATTATAGTTCAGCTGTTATAATTAAGTATTAAATAAGTTTTTTTAATTATATTTTTGTGTTTTCTCTTAATAATTGTATAACTTATAAATATATTAGATATGGTACTGTTGTTTTAGAAATTAGTAAGTTTGTTACTAAACTAAGTTAACTTTTATATAACTTATAGCAGCTAAGTCAAAATAATTATATTAGATTTGGTAAGTAAATTATTGTCTGTAGATAAGTACTAGTCTTTTCTCTTGAGTCTTATCTTTAATTTATTTTTATTATAATTTTTATTTTATTTATTGTCTTAACCAGAATTTTATTATTTTAAATTATAGTAAAAAATTTTATTTTTTGTTATAGTTTACTAAATAAATAATTTTGATAAATAATCAATTACAGGTTTAGTTCAGTTTTGAAATAAACAAATATTGTTAATAATAGGATTTATGATAGTTAATAGTTGTATAAGATAACACTTTTACAATTATTATGGGTCAAGTAAATAGTCTATATTTTGCAATTATAATTATTAATCTTTTGCCTAGATGAATTGCTCTTATTTATAAATATTCTTGTCTATTTATATCAAAATTTATCTAATATATCAAACATATCTAATACAATGAATTTGTCTAATTTATTATCTATATTATATTTATTTAATATATTACACTTATGCAATATAGCAGATATATTAAATATATTAAATATATTTGATATATCTACTATATTTGATATTTTTACATTTAAAATCTATATCATATATATAGGTCATGTTTTCAGATCTCACAGTATATAAGTTTTTTTTTAAAAAAAAAATAATTTATAATATTAATTTTTGTGTTTTTTTTAATGTTAAAGATTCAATTACTAAAGATTTAAACTTTTATGCATTTTTACATACTTCTATAATAAATATAATTAATACAATAATTATGATTAAACAAAATATTAAACCAAATATGACTAAGAAAAATAATAATGCAGATGCTAATATGAAACCATTAGTATAATGTATTTAAAAACTTTGAAATTAGGTGATGTATATATCAATATAGTTAAATTTTATTACAATTATAATTCTAATTTATTTTTAAATTAATAGTAAAGAAGATATAAATATGTGTATTGAATTAGTTAAACTTTTTTTTAGTGAATTATTAACACTAAAAATAATAATTAGATTCTTGCTAACATTGAACACTTTAAGAAAACTTATAAAAATTTAAGTCTTTATTAACAGGAAAACTAATGACTTTTCTATTTCAAAAAAAATCCTTCATTTCAAATTGATATGATTTGAAGTAGGACCAAAATTAAAGTTCAGCCTTCATTAGTTCAACAAAGAAAATCTAAGGAAAATATTGACTCATCTAAGTTGAAGGCATAAAAAAAGAAAATGACAGCAAAGAAGACACATAATTTATTGAATAATATCTTAAAAAATAAATTAAATTAAGTGTTTATGTGGTTTAGTAGAATTAAAGTTATTATGCTATTTATAATATATATTAGCAAAGTTCGCTCAAATTATATACTAAATATGGTTCTAAAAAATTGATTACTGTATTTTGCTTTTTACTTTTTTTTTTATCTTTGTTATTATTGCAAAAGCACGTGTAGCATACATTTTTTGCTTCTGTGGCACATGTGGCGCACCAACCTGGTACACATTTTCCGGATGCTATTTTTATTGCTGATGAAAGCCATATAAAAAGCTTTAACGATTCAAATTATGATTTTAATCATACTGCATTTCAGATACGTTCACCTGAAAGGAATAATAATATTTCTATCAAGTGACTTATATATTAATGTAAAGCTTTGCTAACGATTTTTGTAGTTATCATGTCGTTAAATTTAGTCTTTGAATATTTAGAATACCTTTAGAATATGCAATTGATCTAATGATATCGAATATGTTTACATAGGAAGAAAATTGTTAACAAAGCTTTATTTAAAGTTGGCAACGAAGTAGCAGTATTATTCCTGTCAGAAATGGCAATATTTTTCTCTAAAACTATTCCATATGATTATACACTCATGTTTTGTAATTTTAAAGCTTCTACGTAATATTAAGAGGAAATTAAACGATTTAAAATCCATTTATATGTATTATTTTACAGTTTCATGTACCAATTTCGTCACCCCTATCAATAACGTACACGCATAATAAATATCAATTAGTAAATATTTAAAAGAAAGGCTGTTATTAATAGAACGAAATTGATGTGCAAAACCTGTGAAAGCATTTATTATAGATTTTCAATAATATTAAATCCTTATATAAATGAATGTATTATACATATTTTAACAAAGCGTATTTTGTTTTCTTTGTTTAGCTTTTCAGTAATGCGCATCAATCAGCTGAAATTGGATAGGATGTCGGTTTGTCCGTTAAATTCCATTCTTACTTATAACATATTTAAAAAGCTATATGAAGACAAATCGGTTTTATTTAAATATACAGTACAATTGTTTCATGACAACACTATCTTGGGACACTAATAAAACTAATAAATCACGTTTTTAATAATTTCCTTTTTCATTTAGAAAATAGTAAAAACGACGAAATGATAAGAAATGACGAAAATCCCGAAAATGATAGAAATGAAGTGAAATGTCGAATTTTTTCTAACTAGCTTATACATCAAATTATAGCTCGAGTAATTTGCCCTATAATTTTTACTGACGGTTAAGGAATTTATTTTTAAGATGTCTTATTAGAGGTTCCTTGGGTTATAAGTCAGAAATTCGTGTCTAAGTTATACTGGGTGTTTGATGGATTCCTGTACAGAACCTTTTTTATATTTCCGCTAGTATAGTTTTATTAATAAAAGATTATAATGATTATCAATTATTGCCCTTTTTATACCGGGTGTTTGATAAGTCCCTGGATAAGACCTTTTTTTAAATCACTAGATAAATTATTATACTATTTAAAAAAATGTAATGATTAGTGATCGTTATATAATAAAAACTAATACTAGCGGAGATATAAAAAAAAGGTCCTGTCAAGAGACTTATCGAACACTGAAAATAAACATAAAATAGCCGAATTTTTGCCTTCCTTTAAATTTTATTTCTTTAAAATCAATTTACAGTTATGTACCAATTTACAAACCAAGTTATTACAAGCCAATTTCAAAGGTCTCATAATACTAATGGTCGACCTCGTGGCCAACTCCAAAGAATCCTAAATACCGGAATACGACCCCAAAGTCAGCCCCAAGCAAATCGACCTCAAAACACTATGAATACATCTACTAACGTCTTCGTTCAACAATACATTGATTTGATCAAGGACTTGAATCCGTTTACTAGGTTGCAAGATGGTACAACCCCACAGCAGGATCCTCAATTTCATACCGCATTATTTTTGGGTCTTCCATTCTAATAAGAAAGAAAATATATGCAAGGTTATATAAAAAAGCTTTTTAAGACAATTTTTAATTATTATTTATGTTCTTAAAACAAGGAATAGTTTTTTTAAGCATTTTGTTTTTTAATTTTATTAATGGGATGTTAATTTATTTGGTGGTGTTTAAATAGTAACGTCAGGAAAAAAAAACAAAATAAGAGATTTTAATAATATGGTTATTTTATATAAAAGATAAAGGTTCAGTAATTAATAACCTTGAATCTAAGAAGACAATAGATTATTTAATGAATAAATTCAAGTATTTGTAAAATTTGTCGCATCAATTTACACCAATTTGCATCATTGATGATTAACCAGACTAATATTACATTTGATCAAATAAAGCCTTGTCAATTATTAGTTTTCATAAACAAAAGTAAATTTGTAAACAAGATATAATACTTTAACTGTCTTATTTGGAACCATTAAATGTTGCATATTAGTCGAATATTTATTTTTTTATTTTTTCGAATTTCCTATTAGTTTATATGATTGTATGCATTTTTTGTCGATCACGATTCACTATTGCTATGCTATCGAATAAATCTTACATTATTCAATACTAAGGTACGTAAATATAATTTTGAACCTAGGGCCTTATAACAGCAGATTGACGAAACAGACTAACACTCGTTATATGTAAAATTTCATTCTTGACATTTTTAATTAGTGCCAAGGTCGATTTGATCATTAGTTTTTGAGTATTTTTGGATGTGTGCCAGGTTTGTGCGCAGCCAAAAACTTTAAAGTCCGTTTATGCTAGACCAGGATTGGGAGTAGTTTACATCGAAAAATTTCCTAACAAAAACTTTTTATTAGAGCATTAAAGGTGATTTCTTATGTTGAATTTTGAGACGTAAGCGATTTTTGACAAAACGGACGTTTGCTTTGAATTTTATTGATCGTGTTCCGTCACGCCTGATCTTGAAATCTGATTGGTAGCTCAGGAAAGATTCCAAGATCAAGGTGTAATTGTTACACGATCAAACAAGCGTTCGTTTTGCAAAAATCATTTATATCTCAAAAATATACATAAGAAATAATCTCTTGTACTTTAATAAAAAGGTTTTCTTGTTTCGCACGTGATCGAATTCTATTGTCGGGCCGGGCAAATTTGCACTCTATGATTGGCTATTTCCTTTTAAAGGTTTGTATTACTCGTTAAACGTAAGTGCGTCACGTTAACAGGTTATGCTAATTACCAAATCGAAAGAGTACAAAGATCAGAATTTGGCGCAGGCTTTAATTTACTTAATATTCGATATTTAAAAATATTCTTATGAAACTAAAATTCGTACTGAAACTTTTATTTAGAAGTAGAAGTTACACTGTGGTTATCATAGTAAAATCTTGTTATAACCTGTCACATATTCGTAGATTCGGTACTAGATACGTAGTACATTAACGTGGATAGCTGTTACGAATCGGTATTAAGTACCACAATTTAATCTTCGATGTACGGCTAGTTTATGCATTATGATCTTTACATTATATGAGTAACATAAATATATGTAAATATAAGGTTAAGACCCAGGCCAGTTCTTTACATATGACTGTTACATAAACACAACAATGAACATAATAAGAATTTCTTTTTTAAGTATTATCCTAAGGTTAAAATCAACTATTTAAATTTCCAAATTAGTGTTTATTAAAAGGAGCATGTGTTGTTGGCTAAATCAGTCTAAAACATACATACCAAAAGAAGAGAAATGTCGCTTCAAACTTGGTAACATCGCATAATGTTACTCGACAGTAAAGTAAGGTGAATTCGATTTGACAAGGTCTAAGGCAACAATTGAGTAGTGTTATAAAGATATTCAGATAAAACTTTTGAGAATGGTTTATATTTGGGTTTTTACTTAGAGTTTTTATTAAAAATATTAATTATGTGACAGATGCATACATCATTATAAGAGAATATTGATTCATTATTTATAAGAAAATTGAAAAAGACAAAAGAAAAAAGAGAATCAAAGTTTCTGCAATGTTTTCTAAGCTGTTCTACCTTACATGAACTAATTCTTTCTTCTTTATGCTTACATAGTCTTATTATCAAATTATTTATAAGGAACAAGAAGGCAAGTCAAAGAAAAATGTTATGTCATTACTATTGCTCTATCTCTTTTTACTCATTGACACAATAACCCTATATTCACCACTTAACCTGACATCTACAACCCAAATCAAGTAAGCAATTTTCTTACAGTACAATTGACAATTGGGGGCTTAGTCAAGATATATGGTATTATTACTTCAATGAGTCTGAGCATATTCACTTTACAGGTTTATACATCACCATGTGTGTCAATAACAACAGTCATTATCTAATCTAATTGAAATTTTGAATCCATTTAATTTTCCAATATGAATATCATTACATATTACTTCTAGTTTTCTATTTAATCTTTCCAACATTCATAATACGTATGTAGTTTAAAAATTTAATGATGTCTAACAATTATTCTGATAATTATTACTTCCTTAATATGAAATCAATTGGAAATAAATAATTTTGTACAATATGATAAGATAATTGTTCAAAATTTGTTAATTTCATTTCAGAAAAGACTGTAAAAAAGATAAAGAAAAAAATTAATAATTTATTGTTTTTATATACTTAGATTATAAGATTATGAATTTTATGACCTTTTTTTTTTATACTACTGATCTAGTATAATTCATATTGTGAATGAAATTTTAGAAAATTAGCTAAAGTAGTCAAATGTAACTTTCATAATTATGACCTACTTTTGAGACTTTCATGTGATATTAAGAGAAAATCTTTATTAAAACAACTTAAACAACTCAAACATGCAATAATTGCCAAGAATTTCAATTATTTAATAGTAAAAGTTATTTATAGATATGCTATAAATTATAAAAAATTATATATAGGTAATTTGGTCTTACTCCAGAATCCTGATACCCAAAATCCTAATACCCAAAATTCTGATCCCAGAATCTCAACAGTACTAAAATCCTTATACAATTTATATTAATCCTGACACCTAAAATCTTGACAATGTCAAAATTCTAACATTACCAAAATACTAACAATGTTGAACTCCTAACAATGCCAGATCCCAACATTACCAGGATCCTGATGAGTCAAAATTCTAACATTTCTAACATCCTGACAATGTCAAATTCTGACAATATCAAAATTTTGATTACTAATTTTAATATATATCAATAAATTCTAAATTTATAAAACAAAAAAATAAAGTGAAATTCAAAATTAGAATATTCTATCCTGTTATATAATTGAAAGTGTTTATTGTTATAGAAATATTTTAAACAATTTTGATTTCCTGATATGAAAAGGTGTTCATTCTCTGTAGAACTTTGCTGATGTCTCTGGTTTCTATAGAAAAATAGA